CCATTCGGGCTGACCCATACAGGCTTTGACATTTTACGGGTCAGGCCGGGCTAGCCCATTTTTGGTGTGGGCTAGAAAACAATCGGCCCAGCCCACAAGTACGTGGGCTACAGGCTTGCCGGGCTAGCCCACTTTTTTTAAAATTATATTTTTTTTATAATTATTAAAATAAATTATAAATTAATTTTAAAATATTATCATAAATATCGACAAAACAATATTACATGGTGTTAATGTTACTACTTGTTAATCAAATCCACAAATAAAATTATCTTTATAATATTTATCAAGGTTTTTCAAATAAAAGTATAAATATCTAAATAGAAATATTAACATAATTATTTTGTCACATCAAAACACAAAAAATGTGACAATATTCCAACCATAAAATATCCAACACTTCATGATCATCTTCATCAAGCATATCTGAATCAGCTTGTGGCAAGGTTGTCTTAACATCTTTATTTTCATCTGCAATTTATATGTGGTTTCAATTAGTTAAATATTAAATTGATTTTGAGTTTGGACTCTCTTTAATTTTAAATTTTAATATTATATTATATTTTTAAAATTATTTTTATTTGGCCCACGGGCTGGCCCTACCTATATTTCTCAAGCCCCACAAATCAGCAAGCTTATTCAGGCCGGGCTAAAAAGCCCTTTTCTTAAATGGGCTCCAAAAATCTTAGCCCAGCCCTATTAAATCCCGGGTTAGGCCAGGCCGACCCAACGGGCCTAGCCCATATTGACGGCTCTACTTTTGGTTCCTCTATTATTGGTATATATATTCTTATGTTTTATATAAAATGGTAGAAAAAGAATTATTATAGTAGTGACTGAAATATTAGAATAATGATCATTATCAAAATTTAGATTAATTATTGAATAGTTTAATCAATTTTGAAAATTTGAAAATAATAAAGTCTAGCTATACAAAATTAAAATCATATCAAATATTTTTAATATTTAAAGTAATATATTTCTAAAAGTTCTAAAACTAAGTGATAATATTTCGTGGAATCTTCTAAAATCTAATGGTAAAAGAATTGAGTCTAATGCGGTTTACATCTCATGTATAGTTCGTAGGCTATTATACAATGGGGGGTTTACTCAATACACACAAAATGCTCACCATGGAGTGCAAACCCGAAGGGCAAAGGTTGTGACTTGTGACAGAGATTGTAGCGGCTCCATGTTATTCCGAGGTTTAAAAAAATGAGTTAAACTCAAATTTATGACTCATTAATGCTGCTTTAGCTTAAACTCGAGCAATTTCTTGTTATTCCCAATAAGACGATACACCAACTAGGATTGTGATAGAGTGATAAATATTATTTTACTCTTAATCAAAGATAATGAAGATTCCTTTTTTGGATACCAAGTCACAATTATTTCATTAGGAAATATCTTACTCCTAATTAATGAAAATTTCTAACACAAAAACCATCATTTAGACAGTCAACCAACTAATCTGCTGAAATTTTCTAACAATTACTTTTAATATAGAAATGCAGCTGCTAGTTTTAAGGAGCCCGTTGACATAATTTGCCTAAACTTGCGACATGAACTACGCATTGGTTGTTAGGGAGAAAAAAAAGTATTAAAAAAGACTTACCATGATTTTATATATATATATTCTTAACATTTAATGGTTGATTTAAATATACTCTTAATTTAACTAATGTAGATTTGATTTTATAGTCTTTTACAAATTTATTTTTAGTTTTATATCCGTCATAGAAGATACGTATAGGGAAAAAAGGCAAGAAAACCTCTTAACTTCGATATTTAGAATAAATATACTCCTTGTTAAGAAAAATTATGTATATATATTATCGTCATCTAACGAATGATATATTTTTACAATCTTCATTAACAAACTAAATTAAGTATTTTAGAATAAATATACTCCTTGTTAAGTAATTTTTGAGGCGTTGGAGTTGGGGGTGGGGGTGGGCAGGTTGAATTTAATAAGTTCTAAGTATTTTTTTCGTGGGGGTGGGGGGTGAGGGGTGAAGAGTATTTTTTGGTTTTGAAGCTTTAACATGATCCCTATAATAATATGGGTAAATATGGATACCCGTATTATCCATTGGATAACTCATTTTTACCTATTTAAATATGAGTCGAGTCGAATAGTTTACCCATTTTTATTTAACTCGTTTTCGATCGACTCATATTCGACTTGACCCGCTCGTTTTCCACTTCTAACGGCAACCTACATGGAGAGGACTATTTGTCTTCGTACTAAATCAATAGAAATTTTCAAGACACATGTTGCAACTATCCATTCCTTTAGTGATATTTTCTACTTTGAACTAGTTGGTAAGGTCTGCTTATTTATATACTCAACATTTCTTATATGTATTAGGGTGTCACATATTCTTCCTCTATGGACTTAGCGTCCTCGCTGAGGTTTGCCCCCACCGCATGTGATTTGCCTAAACTCAATACTAAGGTTTGTCCCGCCTTATCGGGATTTGTCTAACTCATTAAAATCTAGCCTGTATCGACAAAGTTGGCATATGTGTGGCTCTGATAGGCCCATCCCGCTAGTGAGCCTAGGTCCACACACCTTTTAAACGCGTCGCTAGTTAGTAATATCTGCTTACTTATATACTCAACATATCTCTTAGCAGATATGAAACTTCTTATCTTAAGTTGAGGTGTCACACATAATATAATGTCAATGATATGTTGGAGCAAATTGTATTGCCACCAAATGTTAAAAGACCACTAGGAAGACCAAGTAGGGAAAGGAAAATTATGGTAAAAAAAAACTCAGAGCTAATACAACAAATATTAGATTAATTTAATATTTTGTTGAACTTTATAATCATGAACCATTAAAAGATTTTCTTTTATACATTCAAATTTTGAAAAATGAAACAATTTTAATTATTTAATAATTATATTTGAATATAATATCTAAATAATTATATGTATATATTCAGATTCGAAAGTCTAAATCTTATATTAACGCATATCTTAATTAATATTCATATATGTATTTAAATTTAGTATTATTAATCTTAATTAAAATAAATGAGACCTAATTATACTTATTATCATGATCTTCTAAATGATATATATTAATGATTAATGCCCATGAAAGGATCCGTCAAACGCCCCAATCAAGGCTGGATTTGTCCCATGCAGTGGCTTTGGCCTTGTCAAAAGTCATGCTAATAAGTAATAGTACCAAAATAAATTTGTAACACCAAATATATTTAAATCGAACTAGGGCAAATGGTCAATTTTTCTCAAGAACGATGCGAAGTGGAATAGATTTGTCATTTATTAATAATTGAGGATAAATTTATATTTTGTGCTAGTTAAATAACTTAAATTTGCCTTATTTTCAAACTACGAAGCCTTAGCACTCGATAATGTCATGTATTCCGTAGTTAACATAAGTTAAATATGTTCCATTTCACAAACTTTAGGGGCAATTTGGTCATTTTCCTATTAAACTAATATTATTTTTTTCTTCCTAAAGTTAATCATGATGGGAGTGAGTTTTTTTTAAAAAAGTGAGTAGTAAGATGAATCTTTCAAATCAAAAGCAAAAATCCAAAACTCTTAAAAATACACAAAGCAACACACAATTTGATTGGTTTCATCACCATATAATATAATCATTAAATTATATCGACCCCCTGTGCGTTTTGTAGGCATATCTGCCGTCTGCTGCCCAAAGTGGCTTGGATTTTGTGTTGTCTTGCCTTTTTCCTAGACCTTTAAATATTTTGCGAAGTCCTTTTTAAAAAGCACTCACTCAAATTACTTCATAGTGATGTTTTTCTTTCGATTATTTATCATGAGATATGCGGAGTCTAGTGATAACGAGTGAAGTAAAGTAAAGGGAAGAGCTACGAAATAAAGTGTAGGTGAGAGTCCCTTCATTTCGCAACTATATTATGTACTCTGCTCAAATTCGAACTAGAAATTAACAAATTAGCGAGCTAGGTTGTTACATTTTTTCCATAGAAAATAAAGGATCACTACTTTAGTCCATATTATTCGTCGTTTTGGAAAATTAAATTTGTTCCTAAGTATTTAAAATTGTTCGAAAAACTTTATTGACTCTTTAGAATTCACCCATACTTCTCCAATTAATATTGTTATAATAAAGACATATAATATGAATCGAATGTAATATTGCTTAATTTCTTTCTCTTCTAGTAAGTAACACTTGTGTTGATTTAGGACACATGAGTCGACTTGTTAACGTCACATTTTCTTTGTGGAAATTTGCAGGAATATATATATATATCCAAGTCCAAGAAATGAAATTGTTCTGCCTGGCTCCCTGGATGCCAACTAAGAACAGCATTGTCAAAAAAAATTGACACTCTTCCTAGTTGGTACCAGAGGAGACAGGCAGATCCATCAATACCAATTGGCAACACCAAAAAATATAGGTTTGCTTAAAGCTCCCTTTTCTTTTGCATATAAGTAATTGTTTTGCTATTTTTGACTAGTAATAATCGTAATGATTTAAGTTATATACGTTGACACTATGAAAGCAATCTACCTGACTATATATAGTAAATAGTTACTCTACATTTTAAGTTATTGTATCAGACTTGCTATGAAGAGTTACATGTTATTGTAGGTTAATTTATTTATATAGTAACATGGATAAATTCAAACTCAACAACTTCAAATTCAAGCTCATATATGTTATCTCCTGTATTCAGATTAGCAAATCAGAAATAATAAAAGATGAAAAGAACTATCCGAGTCTACAGAACCCACTGTGTGTCCTTAAGAAATTTAATTCTCTCAAGTACCCGAGGTTATAGATTAATTTCTCCCAAGATAAAACGGATTAACCATTAAAGAAATAGTGGTACCTCAAACTTCGATAATTTCAACGAACTCAAAAAGACAGCAACGAGATCACACACAGACACGATAGATCAATTTTGTTTTGTAAGAAATATATGCAGAAGAAGGAAAGAATTCAATGCAGAAAAATGAGAGAAAGTCTCTCTATTTATAGCCAACAAAGAGTAAAGGTCACAACTCTTTGGAAAAAAGACAACATTTCAAAAAGGTAACAATACTTTGGAAAAGGCACAACCTTTCAAACGGTCGCAACCCTTTAGAAGAGACACTACCTTTCATAAAGGTCACAACCCTTCGGCAAAGTTACAACCCTTCATTTCCTATTCACACCTTTAAAACCCAACAATATATTACTTCATGAATTGTGACAATAAATCGACACTACTTTCAGAAAATTGAGCAACCACCTCGATATGATTCTGTAACTTCATAAAATGGATATTGAGGTACAACATGATATGGATAATAATTATTAGATGGCCATTGCATCATTGGAACTAATTCTATTTTTGGATCATCTTTCTTGTCAATAGGGCCAACACTTAACAACTCTGCTCCTTTCTTCAATTTCTTCCTAAGCAATTTGGTTAGCACTGCTGCATCAATTTGCTCCCCCTCCACTTCTAATTGGTTATTTTCTCCCCCTTTCATAGCTGCTGAATTCACACCTAGAGGGACATAGAAAAATCAATAGGAGTTTGAAATATTTAGTAGCAGAGACGGACTCAGGATTTGGACACGATAGGTGCATCACTATCTTTAATACATTAATTGAAGTAATTTGAGGCCTAAGGGGCACGATGATTCGATGTCCAAATCCAACAGATATATTTGAAGGGTCCTTTTAAAATGCATGATAGTAGTTCTTCAAGATATATACACACATATATAAAGTATTTTTTTGTTGAGGTTAACCGAATAGGGTAGGTTCTAACTGATCTCATCGTTTTCTAAACTGTATCACATAAAATGAAACGAAAGACCGAATGTATGCACCTAACTAATAAATATATGACATGTACCTTACATACCTGGCTGAGAAACAGCAATTTTGAAAGCCTTGGACCTTGATTTTTTATCATGACCATTTATGGATAACCTAATAACAACCTTTTGCTGCCCAAATTTTATAAGACCATACATTAGTAAATGAACCAATATAATTTTAAAAAAATATAGCCACTTTGCTAGCTAGATATCATTTTTCAATTAAAACTAGACTCAAATTAGTAAAAAAAAACACATTTAAAAAATATATAAATACCTTATTCATTCTCTAGGTTTGAAAAAGGGAATATAAATATTGATTTGAGGGTGAGATAATTTTAATTCTTGGAAAGAAAGAGGGTGTTTTTTTTTTTGAAATGCTTGAGAAATTGCCTTGAGGAAAATAGTTTATATTTTGAGGGTATTTATAGGGTGGAAATAGAAATATATTAATTTGTAAGTCGTAAATAACACGCATTAAAGATTAGGACAATGCAGTTATTAGAATTATCAGTATGTTATGACTTATGAAGATGACATATATTATAAAAGTCATTAAGGGTGGACTTGGGACGGAGGAAAATATATTCTGAAAAATGTTTTTCATAAAAAATATTCTTTTTAGAAAAATAGGTTTCTAAAAAATGAGAAGACTTTATGATAAAATGGACTTTGGGTGCAACTCACACTTCAAAAGCTAGCTCAAAGGGGATGATTGTCCAAGCCATATAAGAAATCTAGAGATCTCGTCGTCGGACGATCATTCTCATCACCCACACCCACCCTTCCAACACCCGGACATTGTCCGAATTGGAGAGTGTACAATCATGGATCGGGGCCTCGGGGATATATCATCACCCTCTCTCCCTGCACAGTCCGAGGCCCCACATCGATTATATATATGGATTTGATTCTGATACCACATTAAAAAGTGAATCATGGGTCTAACTCACACCCTAAAAACTTAGCTCAAAAGAAGAAAAAATCCCCTAGTTATATAACGAGTCGAAGAATCTCGTCCCGGTCCAATTATGTGGGATCATTCTCACTTACCTAATGGAATAAGAAAAATAATGAGATAATATTATCTTTTTGCTTATAAACAACAATAAATAGGTAAGAAACTCACCTATTTTTTCAGAAAAACATTTTGTATCGTAACAAACATATTTTAATAAGTATATCTTCATGAATTCACCAAGAGTCGTTGCATTACATATTTAATGCATGTGGACGTAAGGAAGAAGGTGAGATGGAAAACAAAATAACGTCTTCAACGGACCAAGTTAATGACTTCACTTTTTTTTCTTCAATAGTTTCAAAATTTACAAAGTTTTGTCTTGAAAATTTCAATAACTAGAGCCATGTGAATTTTCGGGTTCAAATCGTGAAAACAATTACTAACACTTGAATTAGGTTAAACTGTCAATAACCCTCTACAACACACCTCTTGAATAAGGTATGACCCTTTCCCTTCCTCTTCACTGGACTAATATGCTAATGTGAAATGTTTTGTGCAACGAATTATACTTTAGAATCATGTTAATTAGCAATCATGTCAAAACTCTGTTAATGTGAGATGTTTTATTCATGTTTAATTTTTATAATACAAGAGGTATATTTGTAATTATGTCACTATCTTTTATAAAGATGTTGTATAATATAAGGTACCTAAGTATTAAATTTTAAAATATATAAAATGTATTTATAACTGAGTCACAAGATACTCTCTCCGTTTCAATTTATGTGTCACCTCAGATTTAGAGATTTAAATAAGTCTATCTTCGACTGTAAATTTTTTATATATATCTTTTAAATATTTTGAATTGTCAATTATTGTCTTATAATATTTTTTTTATGTAATTTTGCAAATATATAAATTTAGTTTCAAGAAATTTAAAGATTTCATGCGCCAATTTCCTATCAAACTTAAACTGTCCGACTCTCAAAAAACGAATAATGTCATATAAATTGAGACGGAGGGAGTCAGGTACTCTTCCACTATTTCCATTCACTCATTCTAATTCTAAGTCAGTCAACTCTTGTTTTCTTCTATAGTATACTTTCCACAAATCTAATAAACGTATACTCATCCCCATCATGTAATTAAATGCTCCCTAAATACTTTTCATTAGCTGAATTTAAGTAAAATTTACAAATTATTAATTTGTTACTCGGATATTAAATGAGCGGTCTAAATTGAATTTTGACTATCAAAATGAAATATTGAATTAGTTGATCAATTCACTAGACTAACATACAAGTCGTAATTCAATCCGTTCAATACTTATTACATTTCAAATTATTTATTCATTTTCTAATAACTTGTTTAAGAACTTATAAAAAATGTTACATATCAAACCAAAAAAAATTATTTTTTAAAGAATATTTTGTGATTTTTATTAATCCGATTTTTAAATGTGCTTATTGAACGAATCAAAATTGGTTAAGTTAATATATATAAATAGGTCGACAACACATGTTATTTGAACCGATTGAATAATTATATTTTTATAAACTAATTTTATCGTATCGGACATGTTATATTTCTTGGAAACCATTGGTTCTTGGAAAATTGTAACCAACAGTCAAAACACATGTCGAAGTTCTTCCAGATGAAATGCTGATGTTTGTATCAATCAAGGTCTCACTTCTCATTTTTGTTTTTCTAGTGGAATATGATGCATCTAATTTCACCATTTAGGAAAAATTATATATATGTAGAATAATAAATTAAATATTGTGGAGTAAATTAATTTCTAACATATGTTTTTATTTTCTTATCCCTTAGAGAATCCTATTGGGAGGCTGTATTTGTTATGGAATGTTAAGTTAATTTTGATTGAACAAAATTAGATCGTTCATGTAGATCGATTCAACCCAATATAATATCCCTCCCAATTAGGAAAAGCTAATAGATTTTGAATTAATGATGAACTTTGAAATTACATATAATTTGTGCAACCACTTCTTTTTCTTGTCAATTCCCCCTTTTCAAGTGGCTAAACTTTAAATATTTTGTAAACCCACACTTAACTTAAATAGTGGCTACTTCCAACATCTTTTCAACCCAATTTGTTCTCCTAAAATAGATAGTCTTTGGGTCTTGAGGCCCGGCCCAGTTCACTTTATATTGGTTGCAATAGGAAAATTTGGTAGCCCATAAAATCCATTCTATAAATTTGAATAAAGAATAAGGATCGTTCGGTAGAAGGTGTTAGAAAAAATAATACATTTATTAGTTATGATAATATGTATTCTTTATTTGGTACATTTTAAAAATATTTGGTATTATCATATGTGTAACTAACATTCTCTCGGTTTCAATTTGTTTAATCTACTTTTTTTTTGTAGTCCGTGTAAAAAATATTTTTAGCAACTCTTTAATTTCAACTTTTCACATAACATGTTTAAGACCGGAAGATTAAAGAATATATTGATATGTTTGACATATCTTTAATTTAAGACCACAAGACTCAACCGTCCTTTTTTTTAAAACTTCATGTTAAGTCAAACACATGCTAAAAACAAATTAAAATTGACGGAGTAGTTGGCAAACCATAGTATTAAATATCAATGTTATAATACATGTATTAGCATGATTAAAAATGCAATTACCTCTAAAAATGTATAAAGTTAAAGAATATTAAAAATATTTTATACGATACATTATTTTTAATATACCAAACTAAATAGTTACTAAGGTTTTGATTAACTGTCGCATGTTCAATCTCTTGAGATATCATCTATGTTGCTTGGACTCTTCAATCTTATTGTCACACTCATGTCAATACATTTACTTTTAAAATTTCTGATACATACCTATTAATATTTTTAAAAAGTTCGAACGAGCTAAGGTGTCATCGCACCACAAAATTCAATATGGGGTTGGTAGGACTCAAACGAGTCAATATGGGCTGCTGAACGGGTTAGATAATCAAACCATGAAGTCACATAAATGTTCGTTTAATATTCAAAGGCATATTAGCAAATTTTTATTTTGTATATTCGATCAAGGGATCTTACATAATTTTATTTGATATTTAAACAATATGTGATCGATTATAGTAGGAAAAATGCTATCGAACTTTGAGAAAAGGCTCATCTATGTCATCCGTTTAAAGTTTGGCTCATCTAACCATTATTTGTTAACTAAAAAAAAGTTTCGGTTTAGCAAAATCATTTTTTACATGTGGTCAATTATCATTCAACCACGTCATTAATTAAATCATTTTTTTAAAGGAAAAGACTCAAATATGCTATCCAACTTTGAGAAAAGGCTTATCGATGCAATCCCTTTAAAGTTTGGCTCATTTATGCTATTTCAGTTAACAAATAATTGCATGGATGAACCTTTTCTCAAACGGAAATGACATAGATGAGCCAAACTTTTAACGGATGACATAAATGAACATTTTCTGAAAGTTTGATGATATATTTAAGCCTTTCTCTTTGATTTAAAACCACAAAATTCAAATTTTTTATTTATTTTCTTAAATTTTATTTTAAATTATTATAAAACAAACAAATTAAAACGAAGAACGTACTTTTCAAAAAAGTGTTTATTAAAACTTTCTGAAAAGAAAAAAAAAAAGTTAAAAAGGGGTAGTGGTAGGTAGGTATGTAATTATGTTACCAAACACTAGGAAGGAAACTCAGCCAACAACCATCCACAACTAGTGTACTATTAAAAACTCCATAGCCTATGTTGCTCTTCTTTTTTATTATTGCATTACAAGTCACTTTCAACATCCTAATTTGATCTTGTAAGTGCAATCCCACCTTCTTCTTTTGTTTTGTTTTAAGTTGTGCGTATATTCTATTCTCTCCAGATTTCGCTCGTGGAATTATACTAAGCATTTGTATTTAAGATTCTCTTGATTGAAATTGTGTTTTCCTTATAAAGGTTCTTGTTTTGGGAATTTGATTAATCATGGCTCAAGAAACAGTAAATCTTGAACAAGAGGTTAGTTGAAATTTCAATTAAAGGATATAAAGTTAAGTTCTTTACATGTTTCAATCAATTATCTTCTAGTGGATCTTGATTCTTGAATTATTTTGATTGTTCATTTCAGGTTGTTTTGGTTGAAGAACTTGGAAATGTTAGAGTTGTTACCTTGAATAACCCAAAACAGTTGAATATCATTTCACCCAAAGTGGTATGTTGAAGAATTTGAATTCTTGAAATTATCTATTTCTAGTTACATCTGATTTAAGTTATATCCATCGATAGTGTAAAGATTTTGGGTGGACCTAGTGAAGAACCTATAATAGGGTTCAGTAACTTTAGCTTAGATCATGTAGTTGTGGTAAAATGTTGATTCTAAAACCATGAAGTTCAAATTTTGGATTCGTCAATGCAAGCTACCAATTACTCACTTC